AACTAACCAAAGAAAGAAGCAACCCATGCGTTTGGTGCCACTTTTTTTGTCATCTGAGCGAACGTTATAGGGGAATTTAAATACAATTTCAAATCAAGCCTCAGTGACCTAGCAGACTGAGAGAGATGCCTTAAATATAAATGCAATTTATATAAACCCAACCACCACGGTTCAGCTTTTCAAAACAGGAGCGAGTTGCTCACATGAACCACAACTTTCATTAACTTACCCTAGTTCTGTGCAGTAGAAAGGAGTAACGACATTTGCTCCATTTTCCGGGTGGGATGTCAGCCGCCCAGCTTCTCTGGCTTCTCGCTCAGGGTCCACAAGTGATCGTGGCAGAATATAGAGCTCCTTGGAGTGGTCAAAATGCCCTCGGACCTTTACAGGTCTGTACTCCAATTCCTTCAATTCCATGGGGCTGCACGGAACAAGATGAAAACAAAATCATGGCTGCAAAGAGGGAAATCAAATGAGGGGATTTTATCATGGGATTCTCCTTTTCCCTAACGGTTCACTCTAGAGCCACTTGGCAAACAGAAACAGAAGACAAACACCTCATGGAATAAGCAGCTGGCTTAGTATTTTATTACTGCCACAGTGAATCAAATTGAGATGATCGTGAGTATCCAGAGAGCAGTTCTTTTCCATGACATCTGTAACCCAGTGCCACTCCAACGGCACACGCAGCTGATCAGCAGGTGGGTACACTGCATGTGCATCCAGCCAACAGGGAGCATTTCTTTCCCATCCCAGACCATGAAATGGCACAACCGATCTGTTTGGACAGTTGTGCCATACGGCCAAGTGACCTTAAGAATCTCTCTCATATCTGACACAACTGCTCCACGCTTGGGGCAGGGCCTGCTATCGATCCAAGACTCCCTGTTGCAGGAATAATCCCTTTGGGACATCACAGACACAGCTACCAAGTCCTGCTTCTCCAGGAGGATTACATATGGTATGAACTACACACCACTTTCTCCTGAACAGAGATTCATCCTTTTTACATGCATTTAGAGTATCCCACAGGGAAGCGTTCACTTATTCTTTTATCAAAAGTAAGAAAATTAACAGGATGTCTATCTTTCTAATTTGCTTGCATGGCCTGATTCCCATTGCATTCCTTCATGTTCACACAGTTTAGTTTAGCATAAGCTCATTAGCGCAGGGACCATATCTAATATCCCCAGCACACTGTCAGTGCTCTGTAGACAATAAACTATCTCAGCTTCCGTACTCTAACGTCAGAGGGATGGGCTCTGATGTAATTCTTGATGCCAGTTGTGCAATCAAATCCAATTTCCACTTTCGTCGCTGAACCTGAAAGTACACAAACACAAAAGTAATTCCTTATGGTAGAACAGAGCAATGTAAGAACCCCAGCAAGCCTCAAAATCTTTGTCAGAAGTTTCTCCTCAGACCTGGCCTAAAACAGGGTAATTCGAGGTATGGAGACGGAGGCTACTGACTTTAATTTGAGGAAATATTTATACTGAAATACAAGTGTAAAAAATAAGAATCTCTCCTTTAAAGACTTGCAAATGGACACTTGGAAAACAGAAAGGTAAAATAACAGCAAATCTTTACCCTGTATGTGATTTGAACTAGATTAAACAGCCAGAGACGGAAAAACCTGACAGCCCTCAAGTGCTCATCTCTTGAAAAAATTCAGTATTTATTTGTACCTGCCAAGTGCCGAGACAGAACGTGGTCAGAGGGACCAGGAAAAGGCCCCATTTGAGTAAGATGTCCTCTCCAGATGCATCAGCAGCTGTTGTAGAACTTCGTGGTCTGCAGAACCTCAAATAAACGTCTAGAGAAAAACAGAATGAGGAATAGGATTTGTATAGGAGAGGAGATGCCAAATTTCTGCAGAAAATGTCACCTCTTGGTATAAGGTTGAAACAGGGCAGAAGCTCAAGCAAATCTTTTCTTACCTTTAGTCTGCTGGACCAGACCAGAACCTGCTTTAGTTAGGGGATACCCAAAAAATGTTCTTCTGATCAAGCAATGCGATACCTACATGAAATAAGAAAGATCCTTTGTAGTGTCTCTGCTTTTTAAAATTTGTATCCAGATGATACCAGTTGCCTCAATGATTCCATGAAATTTTGTTTACTCACTGATATAAGTCTCATCTGAGCAACCGCCTGTGAAACACTACGGGTTAGGTTATAATTAAAAAAAAAAAATCAAGTTGCAGTTACAGAGCTGACTATAGCACAGCAAATGATCTATCCCTTTTCATCCACGCTATCAGCAAACGTACACACCATCTTAATTTGTTCTTGAAATAAATGCCAGCCGAGCACCTGCCCTTCCCGCCACGCTGGAGCAGCACAAGGACAGATTTACAGTCTTTTTGCCACCGATTCCGCTCACTTTTAGCACCGCTTTGCCCCGTGCAGGGAAGCCGGTCCCCACACCGCGACGAGGGGCACCGACCCACCGCAGCCAAAGCCCGGGCCCCGGCAACGGAAGGGCGGTGGCCGGGGGAGCCCGGCCGGGCGCACGTACAGCGCCGAGCACCCCGGGGGGACGGGCCCCGGACAGGACTGGGGCCTCACCCGGCCCGGCCCCGCTCCCCTCAGCTCTCAGCCGG